AAAAAAAAAAAGTAGTATGTTTTACAGAGTGCACACCAAATGCTTTCTTTTGTGTTTTTGTCCACATATACTTGTTCTTTAAAGACACTTAAGTTAACTGGCAATCAGATCTGTTGTTGTTTACCTTCCAGTGAATTGCTGTATTGTTATATTGCCTTATTACTTGGTTTGTGTCATATAACAATTATTTCAGCTTCTTTTAAAGCAAGGAATGTCAGTTTGATTTTTCTGCTATTTTTTAAGAAAGTAATGTTTGAGAAGCTGCAGTGTTGAAGGGCCTGTCACCTCCTGGCCAGTGAGTGACTTCAGAGAAACCATTAGGTTGTACAAAAATGGCGTGAGGGCAGCATTTGACCTCCTCTACCTTCACAAGGGCGAGGCAGTATCAAGGTCAGCAGCCCTAGGCTGATTCCAGTGAAGCAGACATGCCACCACCCTCTAGCCTTTTTACCAATTCTTACACCAGCTATTTCTCCCACAGCACTCTACTTCTCTGCTGGCTTTGATAAGCCATTGCGACAGGCACACAGAACTCACTGACAAAATTTATGATTATGGGATTTATGAGAAATAGCAATCCTGAAGCTACAATTCTGGATTGGAAACAATTCAGGCTAAAATTCTTCAGTTAGGATACCTTCTTAACTGTGCTACAGCACACCTCTTGTCTGGCCTTTCGGCACTGTAGTGCCTGCTTGGGCAGGCTCTGTTAGCTCTGCTGATAGTGCCCAGATAAGTATCTCACCACAGGCACTCAGCTTTTTCACTCCATGGGCTGGTAATCTTACTACTCTATCTCGTGCCAGTCTGTTGGTTCTGCTACCTCTGTTGCCACCGTTTGTCTGCTGCCACTTTTGACCATCCCAGCAAAATATTACAGCTCTCTCTCTGTGTCTTGGGTCGAGGAGATTCAGTGCAGGGATCTCAGGTCCAGAGGAAGTATTCCACTCTGGCTCTTCTTTCTTGGTGATAGTGACATCCCTTCTCTCCACCTCTGAGATGGCTGATTTTAAGCCTACCAAGCTAGATGCACTGACATCAAGTCAATTCCGACTCACAGCAACCCCCATCAGGTTTCCAAGGCTATAACTTTACAGGAGTAGATTGCCTCATCTTCCTCCTGAGGAGTGGCTGGTGGGTTCAAACTGCTTACCTTTTGGTTAGCAGCCCAATGCCTTAACTGCTGCATCACCAGAGCTCCTTCATTTTAAGCCTAGCAAGTGACAAAACTAACCAGCCCCCACATTAGAGTTCCATACACCTTATTTGCATGGTCTCACCCCCACAAAGGTGTCATATACCTTATTTACATTATTACCAAGCTGTGCAATCTCTTTGGAGGGCCACAAGCACCTCACATTTGCATAGTCCCACCCAGTCATCTGGTAGGAGTCAAAAAGTCCATGGCTAGAAGGACCATATTAAATAATTCCCCTAGTTATCCTTCAGGCCTAGAATTAAACTCACTCCTGTGGCTTCCAGCCAAATAATAGACAGACATGTAGGGTGAACATTTACACTAGGTGGATATTCTCCTTAGAATGAGCAATCATGGGAGAGTAGAAAGGCAGTATTTGCACAGGGAGATAGCTCAGGGCTCAGGAATGCATATGGAAAGGACACAAGGAAGAGGTAACTACAGGGAGGAAGTAGGAAGGAAGCTGTTATATTGTGGGGAAATTTTAATCAATGTCCTGTAACAAAATGTATGTGAATGGCTATATGGAAAATGAATTTGCTCTGTAAACTTTCACCCAAATCACAATAGAAATTAATTAAATAAATAAATCATTCACTGCACTGCAGGTTGGCACTCTTACCGTTGGCTGTGCACTTTTTCTTTTCAATCTAGTGGCTGAGCAGGCAGAATCCATTGACAATCCATTGCATGAAGCTGCAAAAAGAGGTAGGTGGGATTCTTTCTAAATGCACACCTTTTAAGTATATAGCTTGATGAGTTTGGACAAATTGTATACACCCATGTAACCAACACCGAAATCAAAATCTGGAACATTTATGTCATCCCTGAAAGTTCCCTCACACCTTTTCCCAATTAATTCCTGCCTCCTCTGGAAGCAGTCTCTGTTGTGACTTATGTCAACATAGAGAGGTAAGTGTGATTTTAATTTTTAAATGTCAGTCAACAAACACTTTTGAACACTGAGAGTTCTACCTGTAGTGAGGAGAAGCTAGTGGAAAGATATGGACTGTGACTCCATGGGCTCAAAGTCTGGCAACGGAAAGAGATGTATTACGGATCATTACAATATGGCGTGATAAGCCCAACAATTGAAGTATGTTTAAGTTAAACAGTCTCTAGAGGGCAGAGGTGCAGGCTTCCTGTGGGTGCAGCATTTAGGAGAGTGGTTGGTGTTGTGTAAGTGTTTATGTGGGGAGGAGAAAGTGGGGCCCGTGGTGAACAACAGGGAGGAGCCTGAAGTGGTTAAATAAGTAAGTCATGATGAGCCTGTACATTGCGCTTTATCCTGTACGTCAGTGGTTCTCAACCACTGACCTGGGGGATATTTGGCAATATCTGGATATTTGTCCCCCACCAAACCTGGGGGATATTTGGCAATATCTGGAGACATTTTGACTGTCATGACTAGGGGGGTGTTACTGGCATCTCTAGGGTAGAAGCTAAGGTTGTTGCTAAATAGCCAACAGTGCACAGCACAGCCCCTTTCAACAAAGAAATACTTATTGCTGTTGGATCATTTCTGACTCATGGTGACTCTGTGTAGGAGCTCTGGTAGCATAGTGCCTAAGGCACTTGACTGCTAACCAGAAGGTTGGAGGTTCAAATCCACCAGCCACTCCTCGGAAGGAAGGTTGGGCAGTCTACTTCCATAGTGATACTGCCTCGGAAACCCAAGGAGGGGTCACTATAAGTTGGGTCCAATTAGACGGCACATAACAACAACAACAACAGGACTTTATAGGACAGAATAGAAACACCACAGAGGATTTCCAGGCTGTAAATCTTTACAGAAGCAGGCTGCCTCATCTTTCCCCTGTGGAGCAACTGATTGGTTTGTACCGCCGACCTTTTGGTTAACAGCCCAGTGCTTTAACCACGGTGCCACCAGAGCTCCTTAACAAAAATTATCTAACGCCAAGTATCAATAGTGCTGCTACTGAGAAACCTTGTTGGTAGATAATGGGGCATTGTAAGGTCTCAGTGAGCAATATTTCATTCTACTTTAGTTATTTTTGAAATAGGAATATGCAAAAAGAAATGACTGGTTTAGATTGTGGCCTAAGTATAACTACTAAACTGATATTTAAATTTTTTTTATAAAATAGGTATTTAGGGCAGAAGATTTTAAATTAATAGTTACAATTTGGCATTTAAGAGCAGCAGGCTTCAGTGGGTTATTTAGTGTTTCTTTTCTTGTAAGAACTGAAATGCATTTTAGATATGAATATGAGTGGTGTTGTTATGTGCCATAGAGTCAGACCCAACTCATAGCGATCCCTCCTTGGGTTTTTGAGGCAGTATCACTATGGAAGTAGATTACCCAACCTTCCTTCTGAGGAGTGGTCGGCTGGTGGGTTTGAACCACCAGCCTTCTGGTTAGCAATCAAGTGCCTTAGGCACAGTAGTGCCTGTTTATTTTTAGCTTTGACTGTTTTTTTCACTAAATTGCAGAATTTCACGACGAAAACTCAAAAATTTTTTTTTTTTTACAGAGCACAAACGTTTTCAACAGACCCATTTAGACAACTTTTCCCGTTAACCTACCATTAAAAATTGATATTAATGGTTTCCATTAATAAACTGCAAGTCAGAATATACCATAATGAAAGCATTAGCAGGCATGTCGTAATTTAAGATTTGCTGATAAACCCATTGCAAATGAAGATTTTTGGAGGATGAAATTGATTTAAAAGCAAAACAAAAATAAATATCTTTTTCTTGTTTTTATAAATGTAAAATTCTTTCAGGTAACTTGAGCTGGTTGAGAGAGTGCCTGGACAACCGAGTTGGTGTTAATGGCTTAGACAAAGCTGGAAGCACTGCCTTGTACTGGGCTTGCCATGGGGGTCACAAAGGTATTAAATTTTGTTTGCTTTCAGAAATCTCTATGCTGCTGAAAATGTACCTCACTTAAGGCACCAAATTTTAAAAATAAGAAAGACTTCAGTTATTCTTTTGAATCCTTTAGAACATCAGCCAGAGACTTTGTTCCTGGAAGTCTGTGAAACAGTGGGTATAAATGTGGCCAGTCAGCCTCACTACAGGGACCTCTCCCGCTTGAAAGACTGGAAACTTCTTTTCCTCTCTCAGGCTTAGAAAAGCTACAGGAAAACAACAGGAGTATAAAAACAAAACTCCTATCTAATCTTACAGCAAAAAGGGTCAAGATTGGCTCTTCTACCTTAGGTTTTTAGGAGATACAATTTTATGATTTATATTTTAAGCTGAGGCAAACTATTGGGCAGGAAGATTGATTGTTTCTATTTGCTTAAGTTAGTGATTCTGTTTATGCTTAATAATAATTACAAATAAATTTCTAGATGTCTTTCATCTTGCCCAAAAATCTACCACCCACTCACTTTCACCTAACCTTGCAACCCAAGAAAATAAACTTATTAACAATGCAACACCAGGAGCCCAACAAATTAAATAGCAGAGCCAAAGAAAATTTATTAGCACCTCCCAGAAGAAGCCTATTTTAGGGACTATAAAACAAGTTTATTACATGAATACTAAATGTCACGGTAAATGTAGAAATATTTATGTAATGGCTGTCATGTGGAAGGGCAGAAGCCAGTACTCTTGGAGAGAAAGAGCTTTTCCCCTAAATAATTGTACTTTTTAGATCTTTTAAGTTTTTCTGTTTACATAGCTCTCTTGGAAGTTTTGTAGTAAGAATCTTCCCTTAATGACTAAAGTTGAATCCTTTAGAGTTGTCTCTTTTAAAACTATTATGCCTAATTTTGTCAGGCTTTTTCTTAAATATGTATATATATATATCTTTTCTATTTGAATTTCAGATATAGTGGAAATGCTATTTACTCAACCAGGTATTGAACTGAACCAACAGGTGAGTGTGCTAACCCTGCTGTCATTAAACACATCTACCTTGTCGTCAATACAGTGCAGTTTATGGGCACGTAAAAACCTGTCTTGGTGTTTGGAACTGAACTTTTCCTATTTATTATTTTTCAAAAAAAACTCCAAAATATTGGAAATACATACTTTAAAAAATTACTGTTGCACTAAAATTCAAATCGTACAAAGCCCAGAATGCCTATCTCACCCTTCTTCATAGCCCACTTTGAGCTTTTAGTTATTTCTTCATATGTTTATTTACCTCCATGTTACTAAAGAATATGCTTAGGGAGCTGTAATTCACAGTAATTCATTGATTTGAGATGTCAGCTTGGCTTCCTACTTGGAAGGTAAAGATTTTAGCTTGTCAGCTACCCTCACTGACATTCAACTCTTTAGCATCCTAGCACTCAGGCTTTTTTCACTGGTCTTTGTATGTGATCATATGACAGTTTTGGGTTATATTACTATATAATACTTATATTATTATGACCATTTAACTGTTGCTCACTGCTAAAACAACTGATGTATTATGCTCCTTCCTTAAATAACTTTTTGTTTCTGTATTTAACTATTGACTTTTATTTAACTTTTTATGTGTATCTCACTGTCTCAGTTATTTAGTGCTACTGCAGATAATACCATAAATGAGTGGCTTTAACAAACAGAAGTACATTCTCTAACAATTTAGGAGGCTAGAAGTCGAGATTCAGGGTGCTAGCTCTAGGGGAAGGTTTTCTCTCTCTGTCAGCTCTGGGGAAAGGTCCTTATCTCCTTTCAATGTATTTGGGCCCTGCATTCCTTGGAGATCTCCATGTGTTTTGGCATCAGTCTTTCCATGGGTCTAGGAGGTTCACAGTACAGGGATCCAGGGTCCAAAGGACCATGTTCCACTCATGTCTCATCTTTCTTGGTGGAACTGAGGTCCCTTTGATCTCTGTTTAATTGTTTAATTCCTTTTATATCTCAAAAGAGATTGACTCAAGATACAGCCTAATCCTGTAGATTACATCCTGCCTCATTAACATCATAGAGATGATAATTTATGACACATAATATAATTATATCAGATCACAAAATGAAGGCTAATTACATAATACTAAGAATCATGGCCCAGCCAAACTGATACATATTTTGGGGGGACACAATTTAATCTATAACACTAAGACTCTCAAACAATTTTATTTTATTTTGGTAAAAATATACATAACAAAATATATGCCATCTCCACAATTTCTACATGTGTAATTCACTAATATTTATTACATATTCAAGTTGTATAGCCATTCTCAACATCTTTTTCCAAATCTTTTGACTGCCGTTGAGTTTATGTTAAACTCAATGCTCCCTAAGCAAAAACTCCCTGTTCCTATACTTTTTATCCTCTCTTAATGTGCTTTTCCGAAATGTGTAAGATAATTGATTACTTTCTTCCCTTCTACCCCTTAGAATCATACTTTTTAGATTCCTCCACCCTTACTTTCTCGTCTACACAAGTTAGACTCTATTGCCCTTTACTTCTTGTGTTGAATCTCCTCCTGATCCTGTGTCTTCCTTTTGGTTTACTCTCTTCTTTTAAGAGCACATCTTCAAGTAGAGTCCCAAGAAAAGGGAGCTTGGGATGATTATTTGATTGATCAAAATTCAAGTTGGAAAATCATCCCCTTCAGAATTTTGGCAGCATGACTCCATGGTGATCTGGTTTTCAGGGTTGCTTTTGAGAATTTTGATGCCATTTTGATGTGTGATGTGCTTCTCTCTAAGAATCTTCACTGTATCCTGGGTGTTGTAAAATTTCACAGTGACATGCCTTACTGTGGGTGTTTTTCCAATAATTAGAATGAATTCTTTCAGCCTATAAAAGTATCTTGTATTATTTCTTTTATATTTTTTATTTGATCATTTTCTTCATTCTTTGTTTTTGGAATGTCCATTAGTAGAATGCTGGTCCTCTTGTATTGAACTTTCAACTTTCTAAGTTTTTCCTAACTTTATGCTTTGTCTTGGCTATCTTTTTAACTCCTGTGAGCTCTGTTTTAGTTTTCTATTGCTACACAGCAGATTACCACAAACTTAGTGACTTCAAACAATACTCATTTATTTCAAAGTTTTTGTAGGTCAGAATTCCAGTAACGATATAGCTGGATTATATGCTCAGTATTCCACAGGCTGAAATCAAAGTGTTGACTGGGGCCAAGTTCTTTTGTGGAGCTTGAGTCCTCTTCCAAGCTCATTCAGGTTATTGGCAGAATTCTTATGCCTATGGGACTGAGGCCCTTGGCTTCTAAGGCTGCCCCCTCAGCAGGCAGTTTACAACACAGCTATCTGCATTCTTCCTCAAGGCCAGCAGCAGAACATTTCTCTTCACCATCTTTAACAGGACTCACCTGATCACGTCAGGCCCACCCAGAATAATCTCCCTTTTGATGAATTCAGATTCAACTGATTAGAAACCTAATCATGGGAATAATATCCTATTATATTCACTGGCCCTGCCCACACTCAGGGGGAGGGAGTTATACAGGGCATGTATACCAGGTCTAGAAATCTCAAGGACCATTTTAGAATTCTATCACAAGCTCTTTCTTTCACTTCAATTATTCTTTACAAATAGCATCTTTCTCTTGTTTCATGTTGAATGCCATCTTATCTCTGTTATCTTAATTGCAGCTTTTTTAAAAATATTTTATTTTGTTAACTGTACTATTTCTTTTTCCTCTGTGTTGCATTTATTTTAATCTTTTCTTGTATATTGGAAGCTTCTTCAAATACCTATTTCTTTACCTATCTATTCATTTTTAAGGGTAATTGGAAGATCTTTGTGTGCTCGGTGGGGCTTGGTGGCTAATGGACTTCTCTGGAGGGTGAAGTGGTGAGCTCCTGGCTGTTTCGCTGGCAGCACCCAAATGCCAGTGTATGTAGTCCCTTTCCCCCTGTGTAAGTTGTTTGCTTTTCAAAGAAGTATCAGCTAGTATTCTGCCTGGGGGTATATATTTGACTGCACACATTGGGGCAGTAGGACAAGGAAAGGGGTCCGAGAGAGGAGATTTTACAATTTGGGTTACAGGTTTCTACCTAATCCCGTTTTTAGTTCTTTGTCTTATTGCTACCTTCTCTTGTAAGTAATATTCATGAGTTTGGAACCTATCAGGTTAACTTCTTGGCAGAGTAACTCTATCATCTTAACTGGTTCATCTGACATCAAGGACAGAGGAAGGTGCTCTGGGATTCTGACTACTTCTTATAACCCCAGCATCCCTGTTTCACCATCATGCCTCCTTCCTGCCCTGGTGTTTGCAGGAATCTTCCTTCCTGGTTCTTGCCAGGTTTCTGTGGGGCGGACCTGCTTGCGTCTTCCTGGGTCTTCCTCTGCAGGCATCTGCGTTTCACCTTGCGCTCTGTAGTCTGTTTCTTTTCCTCCATCTCATTCTGTCTTCTGAAAATGACTCTTAGCACTTGAGTCTCCTTTCCTGTGCTTCTTGGAATTTCATGTAGTTTAATAAATTTATTTGTATTTTAGGTTTAACCAGATTAAATCTAATTACTGTGTCTTTAAAATCCACTCTCTGTTTTTAAATTATTACTTTCTCTTTTTATCACCATAGAACAAGTTGGGTGATACAGCTTTGCATGCTGCCGCCTGGAAAGGTTATGCAGATATTGTCCAGTTGCTTCTGGCAAAAGGTAAAGTTTCTGCTGCGCTTATCTGGCCTTTGCTTAACGTAAAAAAGAGACTGCATCCAATTATAGCATTTTAAACAGTAGGAAGAAAAATAGGATCTTTTTCTTTAAACTGGAATTTAACCTCCAATCTGTCAGTATAACAATAAGACGAGAGGCTTGGGGTTGATTTGTGTAAGTGTTTAGTTATAAATTAAAACCTTGGCAAATTTAAAATTACAGATATAACATTGTTGTTGTTAGTTGCCATCAAATCAGTTCTGACTCATAGCGATCCAATGTACAACAGAACAAAACACCTCCCGGTCAGTGCCATGGTTTCACTGCTGTTCTTCAGGTTTTCAGTGGCCAGGTCTTTCATAAGTAGATTGCCATGTCCTTCTTCCTAGGTTGTCTTAGTCAGGAACCTCCACTAAAACCACACGGGTGACCCTGCTGGTATTTGAAAAATCAGAGGCATAGCTTCTAGCACTACTTACTAGGAACTCTGGTGGTGTGCTTAAGGCATTTGACTGCTAACCAGAAGGCTGGCAGTTCAAACCCACCATCCACTTCTCCCTCGGAAGGAAGATTGGGCAATTTACTTCTGTAGTGATACCGCCTCGGAAACCCAAGGAGTAGTCGCTATGAGTCGCAATTTACTTGACGACAGTGAGGCTTTTTTTTTGTTTTTTTTTTTAAATAGTGTCCAGCATCACAGTAACATGCACGCACCATAGTATGACAAACTGACAGATGAGTGGTTGAATATATAACATTAGTAAGGACTCACTGTACATTTCTGCAGGATTAAAGGATTTTAGAAGGAAGTTGCATGTGGGGGGGTGTATAGGGAGAGATCTTCTCTGAGAGAGCTGTATGGATAAAGTTGTTAAGGGCCCTGTTCTCACAAGAAAGTCTTGATAGATAAGAAAGAATGCTGTAGCTGTAAAGTAGTGAGCTGAGGTCCTAGATGTGTAAGGAATGAACAAGAACACCAAAATTCTCTGTTTTCACACCAAGTCAGAAGACTTGGTAAAAAGTAAAGTTATGGATTGACAATTCATCCATCCATTTGACCCCACAAGTATTAATTCACCCTTACAATGGATTGGACATATTTTAGGGAACACCTGACCCCATGCCACATACTGATCCAGAAGTCTATGAGCAAAGAGTTTGAGACCCAAGCCACACTTTATTTGGCTGGACTGTTAGGGATCCTCTGAGCAATGTCATGGTACATGAGAGAAAATGTGTTTGATTTTAGTATGTTAATGATATAAGTAAGTCATCATTTTGATGTCTAGTCATCATCACTGGGCATACCAAAAAGGCTATGCCTACAACAGTACTAATATGGCTGCCACTGGCCAATGTGCTACTGAGCCCTTGAAATGAGGCTCACCTGAATTGAGGTGAACAAAAATTTAGTGGAAAGAAAAGTAATATATGACAGTACTTTTTATATTGATTGCTTGTTAAAGGGATAACATTTTGGATATGCTTAGTTAAATGCAAAGAATTATTAAAATTCACTTTTTGCAAATGTGACTACTGTTGTTGTTGTTGTTGTTATGTGCCGTCGAGTCGGCCCCGACTCATAGCGACCCCTCCTTGGGTTTCCGAGGCAGTATCACTACGGAAGTAGGATTGCCCAACCTTCCTTCCGAGGAGTGGCTGGTGGGTTTGAACCGCCAGCCGTCTGGTTAGCAGGCAAGTGTCTTAGCCACTATGCTACCAGATTTTATATGTATCGTTCACATTTGTGGGACATGTTGTACTTCTGTTGGGCAGTGCTAAGGGACAGGAAATGATTGTTTCTTCTGTGTTTTAAATGTATCTGAGCATTTCCTGTCCTGATAGAAATTATGTATATATGCTCTCATCATGTATATCTGAGTAGTCACAGAGATGTTAACCTTCAGGCATCTGTGACCTGTATACAGTAAAAGAATGAAATTTCACATGTAACTCTAGCTGGGGATAGATTGGAATGTGTCCAGGTTAGAGAGATTTTGACCTAAAATCATAATATTTCCATGTTGTTTTTCAAATACTATTTAGTATATTTACTAGTCATATACTAAGGAGCTCTGATGACATAGTGCCTAAGGCATTTGGCTGCTAACCAGAAGGCTGGTGGTTCAAATCCACCAGCCGGTCCACGGAAGGAAAACTGGGCAATCTATTTCCGTAAAGATTTACCACCTTGGAAACCCAAAGGGGATTGCTATGAGTTGGAATCAACTCGATAGCAGTGAGTTTAGTCGTATACTGGTTACCGTATGCATTTCGTATGCTGTATGTTATACTATTTTTGTACACTATTTCATATCATATTTTATTCTTGACTCAGAATATTTTTGTTCCTTTAAGTTTGGGGACGTTTATTTTTTTTGTTAAGTAGGAAGGGGGTAGTTACAGAGAAAATAGCACTCTCATATACTGTGCAAAAAGTGTAAATTTGTGAAGCCTTTTTGAAAGGAATCTGAGAATAACTACCAGAATTAAAAATGTACATATTCTTACACTCAGCATCACTAATAGGAAACTGTTCTTTAGAAATGCAAGTGAACAAACATGTTGCTCAAGCATGTGCACTGCAGTTTTGTTTGTAATCATGAAAATTGGAAACAGCCTAAATACCCATTAATGATTGTTGTTAGTTGCCATGGAGTAAATTCTAAAACAGAGTAGAGCTGTACTCCGTTAAGTTTTCAAGCCTGTGATCTTTCAGGAAGATCTCCAGACCTGTTTCCCAAGGCATCTCTGTTGTTGTTGTTATGTGCTGTTGAGTCAGACCCAACTCATAGCGACCCCTCCTTGGGTTTCTGAGGCACTATGACTACAGAAGTAGATTGCCCAACTTTCCTTCCGAGGAGTGGCTGGTGGGTTTGAACCGCCAGCCTTTTGGTTAGCAGTCAAGTGCCTTAGGCACTACACTAGCAGAGCTCCTGAGGCATCTCTAAGTAGGTTCAAACTTGCCAACTTTTTATTTACTTTATTTTTATTTTTATTATTTTTTTAATTTAATTTTTTTTTATTGTTATTTGGGTGAAAATTTACAGAGCAAATTCACTTTCCATACAGCAGTTCACATACACTTTGTCTCATGACAACAATTTGACAACAAATTGACCACAATTTACCACAATGCAATAGCTTCCCTCCCACTTCTGCCAACTTTTTAGCTAGTAGTTAAGCACTTAACCTTAAACCCAGAGACTGTGCCTTTTAGTAGACCAAAAAGCCAAACTCACAGCCATCAAGTCAATTCTAACTCATAGCAACCCTCACTGGGTCTCCAAGGCTGTAAATCTTTATGGAAGCAGACTACCTCATCTTTCTTCAGTGGAGCGGCTGGTGGGTTCAATCCACCATTCTTTCGGTTAGCAGCCCAGTGCCTTAACCACTACACCACTTGTTGTTGTTGTTGTTGTTGTTGTTGTTTGCTGTCGAGTCGGCCCAGACTCATAGCAATCCCTCCTTGGGTTTCCGAGGCAGTATCACTACGGAAGTAGGATTGCCCAACCTTCCTTCTTAATAGAGGGATGATCGAATACTATGTTTTGGAATATCCACAAATGAAATACTCATAAATGGTTAAAAATAATGAATTATAGGGTATATACTGATGAATGGTAAGCTCTGATGGTATAGTGCCTAAGGCATTTGACTCCTAACCACAAGGCTGGCAGTTCAAACTCACCAGCCACTTCCTGGTGACGGCTAACTAGAAGGCTGGTGGTTCAAACCCACCAGGCACCCCTTGGAAGGAAAATTGGGCAATCTACTTCTGTAGAAACACCTTCTCAGAAACCCAAGAAGTGGTCGCTGTAAGTCAAATCACCTCAACAGCAGTGTGTTTTTGTTTTTTTTTTAAATACTGATGAAAAATGAGTACTGTTATATATTGTTAAAATTTTAAAAAAATTAAATTACAGAACAATACATATGGAATCATTCATGTCTATGTGCATATATGTCTATGGATGCATGGATACGCATTAGAGAGGCAGGAAATCACACCCACCTGTTGAGAATGTTCCCTCTGGATAAGGTGGCAAGTTGGGAATGAAATGGGGCTTATGCTTTTTGTTCAGCATACTTCTGTATTTTTTGAGTCTTTACCATATGAATACGTTCACTCATTGCTTCTGTAAATTTTAACACAAGAAAGAAGAAAGAAGTGAGTGGGAGATGGGTGAAGGGGGAACAATGAATTACCTCTGGGTTTTATTATGTTGAGATTCTGCTGATTTGCATTCGAGTATGCTTATATATAGAAAGTCCTTCCAATTCAATTCCTGTGGTCTTTTCTGAAGACCCTGTTGAGCAGAAGCAAAGGTCATATGGAATTTAATATTGAAACACTCATTATAACCACCAGGGTCTGATGATTTAGGATTTACCATGGAAGGGGACTTGGAAACTCCTCATTGAAGAGTTCACATGCAATCCTACAGGGATTCTAAGGGAAATGCTATGCTTTAATTGACCATAATTGTCACGTATGACAACCAGCTACCTGATTCAAGATGACAGATATACTATTACAGACTCCTGTGTTACTGGTTTGAGACAGTTTACTTCTGGGCCAGAATTAATTCTGTTTTGCCAAAAGTAATTTTTTGGCAGGCAGAGGATTGGCTGACTGACATCTAATTTACTTTTCTTGTGTTGAGAAAGGTGCTAGAACAGACTTAAGAAACAATGAGAAGAAGCTGGCCCTGGACATGGCTACTAATGCTGCCTGTGCATCTCTCCTTAAGAAGAAACAAGGAACAGGTATTTAGGGTTAATCCTCCTTCTTCCTCTGCTGCCTCTGTGACGGAGATTTAGCAATATAGTATTGGGGAAACAGCTTTTGATCAACTGTTCTGGTGATTCTGAAGTTTTATTTTATATCCTTGATCTAAATTGGAACCTCCAAAAGAGAAGCAATTTGAAGAGACATAGATCTTAGCTAATTTCTGTACATTTCTTTTGTTCCTTGCAATCAAGTTCTAATTACTGTGATTGCCATTACAGTCCTTGTCAGAGAACCAACATGTCCATTTCTTTGTTTCAGATTCATATGATAAGGGGTTCTCTCTAATTATTTTTATATTAAGCATTCAACAGTACCATGATTATTATTTTTTTTTAATTGAAAATGAAGGTATCATTAAGCTGTCATCAAAATTCTAAATTTTTCTAAACATTTTAGAATCTGTTTATAGTATCATAACTTTTTTAAAAAATAAAATTTATGGGTACATTTTTCTGTGTGTGTGGTAAAAATATTCATAAAAAAACACTTGTCAATTCAACAGTTTTTACATATATGATTCAGTGGAATTGACTGTGTTTAATCATTCTCACTGTCCTTTTCTGAATTATCCCACCTAGGTGTATGTACATTCTTAAAGACAAAAATATCTACTGACATAGAAGAATAAATTTTTAAAAATGGAAAGTTTGTATAGTTGTTTTGAAAGAAAAGATGTTAAACACACTTGTATCAATCACGATTGCTATTGAGAGACTGGCTGTTTATTTGATCTTTGGGTCTAAGCTAGAGCCTCTTCAGATGGCCTATTGAATATGTTCCCAATATATTCATTCATTCTACTCTGGTCATTCCTGAAAGAAGTGTTGGGAGAGTGTGCCTTGAACTCTGCTTTCTTGTTCCTTCCATCCTCCTCTCCTTTTTCCCCTCCCATGATAAGGAGCTCTGGTGGCACAGTGCCTAAGGCATTTGACTGCTAACCAAAAGGTTGTCAGTTCAAACCCACCAGCCTGGGTAATCTATTTCTGTAAAGATTTCCTGCCTTGGAAACCCAGTGGGGGTCACTATGAGTTGGAATCAGCTTGGTGGCAGTGGATATGATAAGCCCAGGAAGGCAGAAAAAAAAGGTAGAAGAAGGTTTGGCTTCTTAAGCCTTACCCTACTTCATTATCTTGTGTTTGTCAGTTTATTAATAGGATTTTGAAGTATAGACTAATAATTGGTACTTTTCTTTATTTTTAAACCATTTTCTAGAAAGAAATAAGAAGAAAGAAAGGCTCATGCTTTGTAGGTCTGGTCTTTTGCATTGCCGTTCATCATTCCAAAGTCTGAAGTTCTCCATTATAGAGCCTAAGTGCATTTATTTCCATTTTAACTTGAGGGTATTCCTTCTTTGAGAGTTATCAAAATTGTATAATGGGATCCTCTTCAGTTACTTTTCTGTTTTTATCATTTTAATTGAATTCCCATTAATTTTTGGACCCTCAGAAATGTCTTGTTGTTTTATGGGACTAAGTAATGGGATCCTGTCCTTATTCCATTTCTAGCAGATCCAGCAAAATAAAATCAGTGCACTGCTTTAGTCATTCAAAAATAATAAAGTCTTCCTCTCTGATTGAGCGTCCCAGAGTCCTTCACCTAAGGATCAAATTCCATCATCAAATTCCCACCACAGCCACAGCTCTCCTCAGAACTTTATCATCCTTTTTGTCCTTTGTTCTTTTTTTCCCCCTGTTGTTGTTGTTGTTGTTATGTGCCGTCGAGTCGGCCCCGACTCATAGCGACCCCTCCTTGGGTTTCCGAGGCAGTTATCACTA